AGTGGCTTCCATTCTTCTGACCTCTTCTTTGGGTCAACGAAGAAACAGCCTTCGAGCGTGTGACCTTTCTGGCCACACCCCCAACAGCCACCAAAGGTGCCTGATCGGTGTCTTTTCGTCTCATTTCCACCCGCCTTGGTTTGAGGTCTTGATGGCAGATCTTTGGATTGATCAGGTCCTTCAGATTCAGCCTCAGCAGCTACAGACACAAACGCTCCACGCCTTACTCCAGATTGGGTAGGTCTTATAGAGAGCCGAATGCTGCACTCTGATTGAATTGCCTGCACCACATCGCGGTAGGTCTCAAGATCACCATTTCCAGCTGTGGTCTGGAGGATCCGAGTTACTGTGCTCGGGACCAGATCACCAACTGCAGCCAGTAGGTCACTTGACCACTGCTCATAGTCTAGTGCATGTGGTAGGCCAACTGCTTCAGCTTGAAGCATTGCCTCCTGCCACTTAGACACCCAAGATGTGATTGTCTTCGCTGTCACCGGTGTCCTGATAACAGCATTGTACGCCTCTCTCGCGCGTCGCTTTCGTAGAGCTGGGTCGCCTCGATAAACATCTCGCAACTTCTGAACTTGTGTACGGAGTGGGTCTTTTGCCTTCAAGTATAGTTTGGCTGTATCATCACATGTCTGTCGGATGACTTGAGCTGCTTCAATATATTCTCGCTCTTCAGCCTTGAACTTGGGCAAATCTTTGCGAGTGTAGACCTCAAGGTCGAACCTGAACTCTTCTCTCTCCTTGTTTGTAAGGTTGTATTGGACTCGATTGTATTCAGGCCGTTCAGTCTGGTCCTCCTCTGCCCTATCAACTGCTGTGGCATAGGTGGCTGAGTATGCTGACTCGATTGGTTCCTCCGTATTAAGGGTTGGTATAGCTGGTGGATTGGATGAGTCTGGGTCTATGTACTTCTTCCATAATGTTGGTGCAACCATTCCTTCCAGCTGCTCGATCCACTTGTCCCAATCATCTTGAGTCTTGAGGATGACTAGTTGTTCTTTCACTTTGATGGTATTCGTCATATCTGCTATGGTTTGTATGAGGGTTGTCAAGAGTTTGTTCAGCTCGGATGATTGCCCAATTGCTAGATAGGTTGAGTGTGGTATGATTGCTTCGAGTTTTCGCTTTTGCAAAGTATTGATGAGCTTAAGATCCGGCATCTTTGCTCAGGTCTGTATTCGCATCTCGGTAGTTATCGTTATTGCTCTGGCGGTGTGCTGCTTGATTGATTATGCAGGTCTCAGTGTCTTCAACCTGCAGGTCGTGCATGCTGCTGCACCTTCTCGCTTCGTATAGCACTGTATTGGTCGCTAGCCGGGCTCATAACTGTCAATGTCCGTGCGGAGGATCACGGGAATGATGAATGATGCATAAGTCGGACCGTAAGGTTGTCTAGTTCATTCTATGGTGTCTAGACTAATGGATTGTATGATTGTTCTCTGGTCCCCTACCCCTGGCTCTCCTCTCTTATGTGGCCAGTGTTTCCACATGTCACGTGATATTGGCACGTGCATAGACTGACACAGCTCCCTATTTTCACTAATCATGGTATAATTTACTGCACGTAAGGTACACGTCATAGTTTGCCTGAGGCTCCCAAAGTTCAAAACCTTTCCGCGTCCACGTGCACTCATAACTGGACAGTATTTTGCGAAGCACCAGCAAGGCTTCATGTTCTATCTCGAAAGCGCATCGGCGATTCGGAGTCTTTGTCAATTGTTGGTCAATGAACGGTTCTCAATCAAAGACCTCCCGTAGCGTCTTGTAATGTCGCGAAAGTGAACGAGGATTCTATACATCGGAAAGTTCAATATATGAGCCGACTGCTTCATTAACAATCCAGTATCGACGAACTTCCTTTGGCTTATCCGCCCATCTTGGCCGCTGTTTCTTGAAGAAGTCTGAACTCTCTTGGGTACATTAGGCAGTGCTGAGAAATTCGGCGCAGGATATCAGGGACGAATGGCCACTCACCTGTGGGATTCAGTCTTAAGCCTTTGCGATTCTTGAAAGTCAGGAGGATGGCAGCTATGTCGATTGGCTCGAATTGAGCGAAACAACTGTACGCCAGTCCGAGCGCAAGCCGAATTTCCTGGTCCGTCGTTCCTTGCTCCGCCGACCAGCTTTGGCGCAGCTCCAGCACTCGTTTAGTCCATTGCTCACTACCTCTGGGATCCTCAAATTCAGGATATAGTTGAAAGAGTCCAGCTTGTTTCAAGTTCTCAAGAGAGACTACACAGGATCGACCTGCGTGGCTCACTTTCCCTTAGGACAGATATTCACCATTATAAAAGTCTTCATTCCCGATACGGAAGTCAAAAAACTTTCGCTCTGGATTGCCTATCTGTTTAGCAGTTGCATGATACGCTTTGAGTAACCAGATGTCCTGGGCGAATTGTCTATGTGGAAAGTTCCTGGTGTCGACCGCGCAAACCTTGATCTGGGATAGGTGGCATTGACGCCTTCTGCGCCTCCAAACCGCGTACTGTATTACGAAAAGTAGAGAGCTTGTCCAGGACATGAGGTTGTCAGTCTCCTCCCCGCCAAAACACGGCTTATTAAAATGCTTGTATAGTAATTTTGTTGCTTCTTAGGTTTCCAATTTCAGAATGTCCGTTCGGCTGCTTTCATGCGAGCTAAAGATGCTCGCGCTGGAAGCTATCACGCTTTCATCGTTTCGCCCTGAGCTAACCTCGTCGAATGTGCGAAACAGGTATCATGGGGTAACATCTGAACCCAGTGTCAGAGTACTAAAGCCTGCTGGCGGGTGGAACAGGGTTGGTCCTGAAGGTGCATTGTTCAACACCTGGATCCAAAATGCAGGCCAACTCTGCCTATCTTTGCACCGGGCTTCAGATCTTTGCAGCTCTCATTGCTGGAAAGCTGCAGTGTAATCTTCATCCACATCAAGGCGATTCTCATGCTCATAATATTCTTCGCTCTCAAAGTCGGGGTCGTAAGGCCATTCCAGACAGGCTTCTTTAAGGGGAGCAAAGTAGTCCTCAGCATCGAGAGTTCCACAGGGGTTAACGGTCTGATTGAAGCACTCCTCAGCCACCTTCCACAACACGTCCTGATCGCTAGTATTTTCGAGAACTTCTCAGATAATGTCTTTGATTTGTTTATCGAAATGTGATAAGATTCTAAATGTAATGAGCAGGCTTTGGCTTCCTAGCGACCTTAGGTGTAGGACAACAGAGTGTTCCGCTGCTTCATTGAGCGCATCAATAGTGCCTTGAAGATCGATAGTAATGTTCGCAAGCTTCTTTATTCCTTCACAGAGCGAGCATACATCCGTGATAGGCAGCTTACGTGAGGAATTCGCGTCACCAGCAAGAGATTTGACAGATTGTGCTTGTGAGGTAACAGTGTTGGCAGACCGAATAAGCACATGTACAGCGTTCCGGAGATTCTGTCCCTGATCCTGATCCTGAGGTGCGTTATCAGTAATATCCAGGTTGCGGACTAAGCTTGCTATATTATCGATTCCGGCTTGCATCACAGCTCTAGAATATAATGATTCAAGATGATGTGACATTTGTGTGTACAATAGAGGTGAATTGAGAGGGGTGATATGATCTCAAGCGGGGTAATCAGTTTTCATGTGACCTAACATGCAGCACGACTTGGCATCTTGTAGAAAGTACCGTCATGTCGGAAATCATTGTCCAAGGGTTCTTGGCAACGCGTCGCGTCTCAAACTGAAAAGCGAAAAACTACTATATGATAGCAATCTATGACACCACAAATAAGGTTTACCTATTTTTCATATTAGTCAATTATAAAATATAGTTGATACACCATACCTAATGGGTTATTTTATATAGGAGACCAGTAATGCACTCATAAGAGCACCCAACAATAGTCCGTGGTGGCCAACCGACTGCTCGATAAGAGGCATTTATAGCTAAATACGCCATCGAAATAGATAATGAAGCTATTAGTAATAATAGCACTATACAGCCAATAGCTAAGCAGTCTCGGAAGGAGTATAATATATCCTCTAGACGTCGAAAGAGCGCTGCTACATCCAAAGTTAGCACCACAAAGCATGCTACATCGGTATCCTAGTCTAAAACCCGAGCTGTTAATAGGCAAAAGTCAGTTATACGCCAAGGCATGCCTATTGAAATACCATCTTCACCTCCTAGTCAGTTGCCATCTTCACTACCGCGAATAGAGTAAGAGAATATACTTAAGTCTATGGTCGAGGTTCAGTTCAAAGCTATTAACCAGGTTAATAAGTGAGACCTATAAGGTAGCCAGGTTAAAAAGCTTACTCTAGCCTCTATCATATTTGCAGAATGTGAGGCTTTTTTTCAGAGGGTGCAAACATTCTGGCTCTGAGGACCTGAGGGTTATATAAAGATACTATTAGCCTCCTTATATTAAACAACAATCCTATCATCAAAAGTATATAAGGGCCTGGAATATATTAATGATATTCTGGTTGAAAGCAAATTCAACGCTGTCCATACCTACCTTATAGATGCTATCAAGTCAAATCAAGCACCTATTGTAAGGAATTGGTGATAGGAGTGTGAGATAGATTGTAGGATTCAAGAATATCCGCTAGCTCTCGAACGTATGTCCTCGAGCTGCCTTAAATACACAGGTGCGCAGGGGCCGCGTAGGCGTCTCATCTTCTTACCGTTGGGGTTTCAACCCGTTTCGCACCAGTCTCGAATATATGAGTGGTCATGCGATAGCTATGTGTGCTTTTACTCCCCGTGGCGCCCGCGCCACGCTGCTGTCACGCCGTTCGTGACACCTATCCTTCAGGTTACCATCTTTTGCTATACAATGCCAAAACCTGCAGATACCTCACCTACACCGCTTGGTGCATCTGCCACTGATAAGGCACTGATGCCTGCAACTCCTGTACTATTAACACCTGTACCTCCAAGGTCAAATATAAGGCAGTCTGCTATAACAGAGCAGTTGGCTGCTTTAGATAGCAGCTTGGATGCTGCAGTGGTGAAGGGTAATTGGCATCTGCACTTGAACCTAAGGTGGCTATGTAAGAACCCTTATTGTAAGTACTATAGTAATACTAATAAGGGTTTTTGTTGGTAACTGAAGGGTGATATTGCTATGCACTATTATCCTCTCACCTTATAGATACGCAACTAGTGGGCGAATGTAATTAAGGATGGAAAATGCACTGTTGAGGAACCATCTGCTGAAGTAATCCTAGCTCTTTCTGATGCATGAAATGCTACTAAGAAGTATGGTGTAATAGGTAACCAGCCTAAGCCACTGTCTTCTGATGTAGATATAGTAGTGACTAGTGCAGCCCTGAATAACATGATTTAATTAAAGCTGTTAGATCTGCTTCAGGGGCAACAGAATGGTCATATATTATAGAAATCGGCTGCTCATGACTCTGTATCTGGCGTCTATTAGCCATCAAGCCCTGCCAATTCAGTTAGTAGCCGTTCTCAAGCACTTGATGAATTTGTTGAGGATTTTGTTGCTATAAAAAGTAGAGAATTTAAACATGAGATTGAAGGTGCTTTTAGGATATTATCAGATTAGGGGTTCAGTCTTAATGACTTCAAGTTATCTTTAATTGGTGGTAGAGTAATGATGGCAGACTGGTTAGAGGTAGGAGGACTAAAGGCCATGCTGTTTCGCGTACAAGAAGCTATTCCTAAGTGGAAAGCTGAGTGTAAGTTAGTAAAGGCTGCGTTGATAGATATTCAGGATATATATCAGAATAGTACACAGGTAGATAATACTGATAGTGAGTTCTAGTAGGATAGAGATTGATTTGATAGCTAGATTGTTAGTTATCATCCAAATAAAGTACTTAACAGCTTTCTTAACAAGATGATCAGTAATAATGCTGATAACTAGTTAATAAATAGTATAGTTGATAGCGAGGCTGTCAGTGATAATGATAGCTAGATTATAGGTGATGATTTGGATAGTTAGGTGGTCAGTGGTAATATCAGGATAGACAAGCCTGAGGTATGGTGTTGAGCCAGTGCTCAGCAATATATTGCTAAGCACTATCACCACCTAGTGAGCCATCAGTGAGAGGGGTCTCTGCTGCTATTTTGGCATGAATAAATATCATACATTTTTGCTGTTCTATATCTCCTTCAAATACCACAGTTAAAATTTAAAAATAATATAGACTAAAACTCCTACATGCCTACTTTTTATTTAGCTGATAAAGGAATTTTTAGGGTTATTACTTATAGAGATATATGATCTCAAAGATTACATCAATTTAAGTGAATAAAAATCAACCCAGATAGCAACCTGAATTCTATAGATACTGTTATATCAGAGGATTAGGCAACCGATAGTTAATTAGTAAGCTCAATATCTTTTAGACTATTATTATAGCTAACCACCTAAGCAACCAACTATCTAAGATATCCTATGTGACAGCAACTATTATATAGTTATACTGTCTATTCTATATATCTTATCAAGCTTCGCTGTTATATCCACAATATCAAAAGCATGCCAGTATACTCTACTTATAGTTTGTTGATACAGTATGATATAAGAACTAATTAAAAGTCTCAAAATCTGCTATCTTACAGTAATGCCTCTTTATCTATGCCTTTAGCTTACTGAAAGTACCCTCGATAGGATTCAAATCAGGTGAGTATAGAGGCAGAAAATGTAGCTGAACACTATGCAGATCACAGAGCTCTTGGATAGACTGGCTTTTATAGATACTAGTATTATCTATAATAATTACTGACCTCTTGCCAGGATATGGCTTATAGTAAGGCAGAACCTGATCACGCATAAACTCAAGAAAGATCTCTGCTGTAATTGCGCCTTGGAAGATATGCCATGTGAGATAGCCATCAACATCTAGCGCTGGTAAGATGCTCCATCTTTCACTCTATTTCAATAGTGATATGGTTTGACACTCTTTGCTAATAGGTGCCCAACCAAACTTGCGATCACCAGTACGTTCATTTGCTCCACTCTCATTAATAAAAAGTAGCTGAGTAGGGTGCCAGGTATATTGATAACCAACCCAAGCTGCATGTAGTTTTTCATTGCGTTCTGCAGCCCGGCGACATACAGCCTTCCTTGACCATTTGTGCTTATGCAGATATCCTGCAAGTTGTGTATAACTAATAGTTATATTAAACTTATTAGCTAAAAATTGCATTATTTCATCAAGGTATGTAGTAGGCTGATCTTCAATGAAGTTGAGTAACCACTAAAATTTATATTAGTAATATGATTTTAATACATCTAAGTTATAAACAAACCTAAACCTGAGCAGTAGTCAACTTAGGCAATCGGCCTTTTCGGTAGCAATTACGAGGTAGATATGCTTTACTATATATTTTATAATTACTAGTGATTCAGCGGACAGTTCAAGACGCACATCTGACCTCCTTAGCAATATTTTCAGCTGATACACCAAGATTAAGTATAATCTTAATCTGCTGTTGCTGATAGATCTCTAGATGGCGCATTTGAATCAGATTTATATGCCTAACGATAAAGATATTGACCAAATACTGTTTTCAGACGCGAAGCGTGTTGTCGCGCGCTGAGCACGGGCCAATGGACAATGATTTCCGACAGCACAGTA